AGTGAAGCTTACTTATGCGGACAAGTTGAAACAGAAAACCTATGACCCAGTTATCATTGTTAAGCCCAAGGACGCGAACCAACCCTCCAAGCAAACCTTCACCACCCTCAAAGAAAATATCGATCCAATTATCCGAGAAGTTACTGGAATGAAAACTCTACGTAGAGGAACCATTGTTGTTGAATGTAAAAATAAAGAAGCTGCAGCCAAACTTAAGGAGGAAGCCGAAACGAAACTGGGATCCGACTACATTCTTTCCTTACCAAAACCGAAGATGCCGAAGATTAAAATCGTAGGCCTCAATGACAAGATCGGGAGTACCCAAATGAAGGAAATGATTCTCGCGCAGAATCAATTCCTCGACGAAGCCGCGTACATAAACGTCGTACACATAACGGAAGATAAAAGAAATCCTAACAGGTATTTGGCTTACGCTGAGGTTGACGGTAATAGTTACCGGAAAATTCTAAGTGAACAAAAGCTTAACATAGGATGGGACCGTTGCAGAATTTATGATGCTGTGACAACTAGAAGATGCTACAAATGCAATGGGTTCGGACATAAGGCAACTGACTGTAGCAAAACTACTACCTGCCCCAAATGTGCGGGAGACCATGACCTAGCGAGCTGTAAAGCTTCGGACGCGGAAATCAAATGCAGTAACTGTGCCAACGCCGTTGAGAAACTAAAAATGAAACTGGATGTACAGCACCCGGCCTGGAGTGTTGATTGCCCAGTCTACAAAAAACGACTCGATCAAGAAAGAAGCAGAATTGATTTTTTAGGCCATCCCCAACACTAATCAAGCAAGGAAATAGGTACGGATCAACGCTCTCAATCTATTACCAGAACGTAAGTGGAATGCGAACGAAAGCGCAATCTTTCAAAAATAAATTGGCAATTACAAATTACGACATTATTCTACTGACTGAGACCTGGTTAACGGAAAATTTTCATGACGCTGAGTATTTAAACAATCAATATGCGGTCTTTCGCAATGACCGTAATTACGAAGAAATGAAGTGCACCATGGGAGGCGGAGTTTTAATCGCAGTCAAGACCGATTTGAATGCTGAAAAATTGGAATTTCAAAGTGATCTAAATGAAATATGGGTCAAACTTAAAATTAATAATACTTCATACATTATTGGTGTTGTCTACTTTCAACCGAAATCTGGTATTGATAAGTACGTGAGTTTTACCAAAAGTTTAGAAACAATTGAAAACATGTTGCATTCATCGGAAGTGTTAATAGCAGGCGATTTTAACCTACCACAAATTGTTGACGCCACGTATAATTTCGAAAACGCGAGTGCTAAATGCAAAGTAATTAAAAATATAGCTTCGATGTACAACTTAAAACTCATTAATACGGTTAAACTTAAAAACTGCAATAATAGAACCCTTGACCTAATTTTAACTAACTTAAACGCGGAAATTAAATCTGCTGTCGACTCACTGGATAAAATTAATCCACTTCATCCTGCACTAGAAATAGTCTACAAAGTCCATAGACCAGCTAAGCGAATTACCAAATTAACCAACTTCAATTTCAAAAAAGCAGATTTTCTTAAAATGTACGTCCTTTTTCGCGATATCAATTGGAAGGAGTCTCTTATCCTGAAGAATTTCAAATCGGTAGATGATGCAGTAACTAGCTTTAATCAAACGGTAATGAACATTTTCGATGAATGTGTCCCCAAAGTTACAATTAGGAGTGCCAATAAGTATCCTAGCTGGTTTAATATAGACATTATTAAGAAAATCAAACAGAAAAATAAGTTTCGGTTACAGGGCCCATCGGAAGACTTCATTGAAGCCAGAAAAGAACTCAAAAGAATGATCCACATTGCTCATAAGAGGTACATTAATCAAATTGAAATGGATCTGCGGAAGAATTCCAATAAATTCTGGAACTACATCAAGTCGTTGAGGAAGAATAGTCAACTACCTGGAGTTTTTGAGTACAAAGACACCTCGTTAACGGACGCCAGAAGCATTGCGGACGCCTTTGCATCCTTCTTCGAGTCAGTCTACACTATGGAGAGGAACGATGACCCGGAAGATGACGTGGAATCGGACCTGGTGCTATCCAAATTGCACTTGACTCAGTTACATGAATCCGAGATACTGGAAGCAATTAAAAAATTGAAACCGAGGTCGGCTATAGGCGAAGATGGAATCCCACCCTACATCGTGAAAGGATGTGCATCTTTATTGGTAACCCCCTTACAACATCTATTTAATTTAGCTTTGCAAACATGTACATTCCCTGAAGCTTGGAAATGCACCAGAATAACACCAATTCACAAAAGTGGAAGCCGAAAATTAGTTGAGAATTATCGCCCAATTGCAATTATACCAGCAATAGCGAAAATTTTCGAAAGAGTGATCTATACTAGACTTTATTCCCATCTCAGCAGTATAATTGCAGATCAACAGCACGGTTTCACGCGGAACAGATCAACGATTACAAATTTAATGCAGTTTACGCATTTCTCAGCAGGAGCCTTGGATGAGAGAGCCCAGGTTGACTGTGTTTATACAGATTTTGCGAAGGCATTTGATACAGTATCCCATCAAGTCTTGCTCCGTAAACTTGTTTTAAATTGCGTAAGTAATCCGACCGTCAAATTCTTAAAATCATATTTATCTCTCCGTAAAACAAGAGTGAAATTCAATGGTGTGAATTCAGCCGAATTTTATCCCTCATCAGGCGTTCCCCAGGGAACACTTCTTGGTCCTTTTCTGTTTCTCTTATACATAAATGATTTACCGCGAGTGATAAAAAACTCGAAAGCACTACTATTTGCGGACGACCTAAAACTTTTTAATAAAGTCCAATCCCCAAGTGACTGTTTAAATATTCAAGAGGACATTAACTCAGTAATTAAGTGGTGTATCAAAAATAAACTAAAACTAAATATCAATAAGTGTAAAGTCCTTACTTTTACTAGATCGAAAAATCCCTTACTTTTTGACTATAAGATGAATGGAAAGGTCTTACTACGAGTCACCTCCGTTAAGGACCTGGGCGTGTTTTTCAATACCAACCTTAACTTTAACTTACACATTGAATACCTAACAAATGAGTGTTACAAACTTCTTGGTTTCGTTATCAGAAATACACTCAATTTCACGAATATACAGACAATGCTAACCTTATATAATGCGTTTATTAGATCCAAGCTTGAGTATGCTGCATGTATCTGGTCTCCTCAAACTCTCAAATACTCAGACATGATCGAAAAAGTGCAGAAAAAGTTCATCCGAGTAATGTTTTTTAGGTCAACCCAAAATTATCCACATTTGATCTCTTACGGTACCCAGCTTAATTACTTAAATAGTACTTTCGGCTTAGATATAACGAGGTTAGAAACCCGACGGTACATTGCCTCCACAATTTTTGTCTTCAAAATTTTACACAACTTGTTATACTCTTCCGAATTACTTCAAGAAATTAAGCTTAAGGTACCATTTGTTAAGCTAAGGCAAAATAATACTATTTTTGTAGTTAACAACACAACTTCCCCACTTATTAAGATCTTGATCGCTTTAAATAAGTTATCCTCAGTTAATGATATCGACTTTTTTCACGATCCCCTAAATTCAATAATAAATAAAATTAGATCCTAGTCCTAATATTTGTTCAGAGCCCCAGTACCATGTAATTGGAATTTTTATTCTGTATGGTTTCTGGTTAAATAAATAAATAAATAAAAATTTTGATCAATTACTTTAGTTAATAATCTCGAATGGGCAATGGTAAAAATGTTGCAAATGAGTCATAATAGTGTATTATATATTTTTTTTTTTTTAATTTTATTATCCCTCTCTTGTTTTGGGCCCTCAACAGGCATGCGCCCAATTATAAGGAGTTCAAGTGTGTAATGGTCTATCAAGCCGACACTGAAACCCTTGACTTACCCTATACTTACCGTTGGCAACTCTGGGAAAAAAAACTATGAGCAGAGCCACCTACCTTTCAAGTCGAAACAATGGACGTTTCGCGGCACTTTTGAATTTGAATGGCAGTCGGCTCGATATGGGTGGCACGGATGAACTCTTACATGAAATAAATCACCTACAGCGGCTACAGCAATAAAATGCAAGAGAAAATACACATAAATAAAACATTTCAAATTGTATAATAAAAATCAGATAATCAAATCAAATGCAATTAAACAAGTTCATAAAAACAAGATATCGAGATGCTGTTTTCGCTTTTTCATAAAAAAAAATCGAACCGATCCACTTAATTTTTTTGAGAAAATTAACCATTTCTGTCGGAATGTCAAAAAAACCCTCAAGCGGTGATATGTGAAACTAACAAAACTTCAAATATTAGATATAATATTTGTAGCTGAAGAATAGCTCTTTTGAACTAACCCGAGTTTGTTTAAATCGGCTCAGACGTTTCGAAGATACAGGGTGTTGTTTACGGAAACCTTTGAATATCCCCCCACCACTTCATTTTTAGAGATACAGAAAAAATTGTCAAACAAAAATTGTTCAGATTACCGTCGAATTCAAAGACCGGACATTTTTTTTGTTACGTTAATATAGCGGAATTCACACAAACATCACTTTTTTAGATTCCAGATTGCAGTTACGCCCCCTAGCGGTCATTTTAGAAACTTAAAAATATTTTCCAGGTTTTGCTCGTGGCCGTTTTAGTAATAAATATTTTACCGCAAGCCTCTACGATAGATAGATTCTCAGATACAGTACCTCGCATTCTTAGTTGGCCACCCTGTACATACAATCTTTCTTTTGGAGTACTTTCGATCCATTCATTCTTTCATTCATTTTTCAAAATTCTCTAAATTTATGAAAACCTTAAAATCCCTTTTTCTTGTTTCGTTAAATTCTTTAAATTTTTCATCTCTCGATTTTTTCTAAGGGGTTTTTCGTAACCTCCGACACTTTCGCAGCCTACGCCACCTTGGCCCCCTTTGTGACCTGTGTCACTCTCGTTCTATTGGTCGTCTTCAGTCGTATCACTGCGATTTATTACGCTCTTCAATTAAATTCTTCAAAATGTTTAGATTTTTTGGGTTGTTCTTGTTTTCTGAACTTTGAATGTCTTTGGGTTCTTCAGATTTTTGATTTTTCAGGCTTTCGTCGCCTTTTTCCCTTTGCTCTTTCGTCGCTTTCACATTGCTCTTCTTCTTCGCCGCCTTCTTTCCCTTGTCTCTGTCATCGTCTTCATTTCCTTTGCCGCTTTCGCCTCCGTCTTCTCTTTCGCCACCTGTGTCTCCTTCATCTTCTTTATCGTCTTCATCAGCTGTACCATGTCTTTCGTCCTACTTCATCTCCTGCGTCGTCCATGTAACTACATCGTTATCCCCTTGTCGTCCTCGTTGCTTCCCCGTTTGTTTAATGACCTACGTCTCCTTCGCCACCATTACCTACGTTCACTAGTCGTCTTGGTCTCATTCGCATTCGCCTTCGTCCTCTTGGCCGCCTTTGCCGTTTCCACATGATCCAAATTCTTCAAAATGTTTAGATCCATTTTATTTATTGGGTTGTTCTTCTTTTCTAATCTTTGAATGTCTTCGGGATATTTTAATTACTTCAGTTTCTTAATTCTGCAAAATTGGTTAAATAGTCCGATTTTTCCGACCTTACTTGTCTTTTGTTTTGTTTTGTGTTGTTTTCTTCTCTTCAATTTTACCTTTCTTTGGATTTTTAGACTTCTGTAATTCCGTTGTCTCTTTCTTCGTCTTCAGATCCGTCGTGTCCTTCGTTTCCTTCCACATTCGTCCTCTCCGTTGCCTTCAGACTTCTAAACGCCTTTCTCTTCTTCGTCGTCTTCGTTTACTTCTGCCGCCCCCTTCGCCGATTGTGTATCCGTAGCTTCGTTTCTCTCCTTCATCTCCTTCACCTTTCCGTTTTCCGTTTCTCCTTCGTCGTCTTTGTCTACTTCGTCTTTAGCGTCGCCTTCGTCTCCTTTTTACCCTTTCGTCACCTTCATCTCCTTCTCCTTCGCCGCTTTCGTCCCTTTGTCTCCCTACCGCTTTCGGGCCTTTAGTCGGTTTCATCTCAATCGTGGCCTAGGTCTACTTCGTCTCTGCCTAAGCCTTCGTCACTTACGTTCCCTACGCCTCTCTCATTCTATTCGAACCTCTTTCATTGCCTTCGCCCTCATAGTCCCTTTCATTTTCTTTGTTACATTTGCCTGATATCTTTGCCGTTGCCGTTGCCTTCCTTGCCCCTTTCGTTCTCTTGTCGCTTTTGTTTTCGTAATTGGCTTCGTTTACTGCGTCTAATTCGTAATTGTTTCCGCCCTCGACCTCGTCACCTTCATTTCCTTAGTCGCCTTCGTTTTTTTTTGTCCTCTTACTTTATTAAATCGCTTTTGAAGAGGCGCAGACGAATGAAGACCGCAGGCGATCGTAAAGGCGCGTTCCTCAACCCAAACGGCATTCGCTCGAAATGAAAATTTCCGAAAGATGACGTGGAATCCGTCTTGTCGCGGTCTTCTTCCTTCACCGGAATCTGCCAATAACTGGTGTAGCGTAGTAATATATTTGGTTTTTTTTTGGCGGCTTACAATAGCTTGTCAATGCGCGGTAACGATCCGGGACCGTAACTCCGTTAATTTTCCGGTAATTGACACACACGCAATAGGGACCGTCTTTTAGGGACCAAAACCATGGGCGCAACAAAGGAATATTCGTGCCATAGTTTCCAGAGCGGTCGCCAGGTCAATAGCATTAAGTTGCGTGTTAATTTGATAATAGTCACGAAGTGGAAAACTAAAAGTAAACACCTTATCTTATCCACCCGAAAGGTCACCCCTGGTGTCCCATTAAATTTTGCCTACTCAATATCTTTAAAATGTGGTTTATACTTCTCATTGTCACCATCTGTCTGCTGTGGCTAAATTCGAGGAAACCGAGAAACTTTCCTCCCGGTCCGGCATGGCTACCAATTATCGGTTGTGGTCTGGAACTGAACCGGTTGCGCCAGAAGTCCGGTTCCATGTCAAAAGCGGTCGGGGCGCTCGCTTTAAAGTACGGGCCGGTGGTTGGGGCACGGGTTGGTGTTGATCGAGTAGTCTTCGTCTGCGGGCCAAAAGAGTACAGGGAGTTTTCGTCCAGGGAAGAGTTTAATGGTAGGCCTAACACCATCTTTTATACATGTCGGACCTGGGGTAAACCGAGGGGGGTTCTATTTACTGACGGTGAGTTCTGGGAGGAGCAGAGGGCGTTTATCATGAAGCATCTGAAGGAATTTGGAATGGGAAAAAAGAGCATGTCCGACATGATTGAAGGGGAATGTCAAGCGATGCTCAACGACATTGGAAGAAAGATTGACGACGGTGGAGGGGAATGTGTTCTGCGGGTGGACAACATGTTTGGTGTTTACGTACTAAACACGCTATGGACTATGTTGAGCTCTAGAAAACATAGTCCAGATGATAAGCAAGTAAAACACCTACAGCATTTAATAACAGATCTAGTATCCAACGTCCACATGGATGGTGCACTATTCAGTCATTTCCCAATCTTACGATATATCTGCCCTCAGTACTCCGGATACAGCAACTTTGTTAAGATCCATCAGCAGATCTTGGAATTTGTTCGTGGCGAAGTAGAAGAGTGCAAGAGAAGTTTCGATTCGTTAGATCATCGTAGTCTGATAGATTCCTACTTGGACACACTAAAATCTCCAGATACAAAAACCAGCTTCTCCGAGGACCAACTGTTGGCCATCAGCTTAGATCTCTTTATGGCCGGAACTGAAACATCTGCCAAAGCTCTGGCTTTTGCTTTTCTCTATCTCACCCTAAACCCCGACATCCAAACAAGAGCCCAAGAAGAAATTGACGCAGTCCTTGGCCGGCACAGACTCCCAACCTTGGAGGATCGGTCGCGGTAAGCACCACGCTCACTGCCAAAGGTCCATAAACATAATTTTCAGCTTAAAGTACGTAGAATGCGTCGTTTTGGAGTCGATACGGATGTTTGCTGACCTCGGTTTTTCCTTACCATACAGAACCCTAAAAGACACGCACCTCAACGGATATTTCATACCGAAGGTATAGCCCGAAAGTAACCCAAAACCGTTTACAAGATCGTCTTTTAGGACACAATTATCATTGGAAGTCTACGAGGTGTCCTAATGGATGAGAGTTCTGGATGGACAAACCCGGAAGCCTTCCAACCCGAGCGCTTCATTAAGGATGGTCGAGTCCAAATCCCAGAGAACTACATCCCTTTTGGTTTGGGCAAACGTAGATGTTTGGGGGAGACTTTGGCGAAAGCGAACGTTTTCTTGTTCGTTGCCGGTCTTCTTCAACAATTTAACTTTTCCATTGTGCCTGGTGAGCCCCCTACGGAGGAAACCGTCGATGGTATGGTTCCTACTCCGAAACCGTTTGTCGCGTTGGTTACTAGGCGATAATAATAAGCACATTAAGTACACATCTTTGGCTATTATGTGTTCCTGATGCTCAAGTATTAGGAGCACAGAAAGTTTAAGCTTTGTAACAACCCAAATGTCTCTTCAGTATACTTTTAAAGATGTGTTATGATACAGTTTAATTGTGTAACGGAACATCCACCTATTATAGTTCCCAAGTCTTGCCAGATCTTTAGGTTATGTTATGTACCCTTAATACCTACTGGCAAGTCCTATACATGTTAACTGTTCACCACAGTATAGAACCACAAAAAGGCCTAGATTGCCGTATTACGCTGACATAGCTTGTCTTCTAAAAGTTGGACTAAAATCAGATAAGCTCAAAGGTGTAAAATTTATCGACAAAATCTTCCTGATTTATTCTGGCCTCCTGACAATCATTTATCTTCTCGACACCATTGCGCTAGGTTTACAGAAGCACAAGAAGGTGTAAATTCCTTTGACCAACAGTTTTTTTTTCTAAGACTCGATAAAACTATACAATGATCACTGGACAACCCGTAGACAAACACTTCGTCATTTATTACTTTTTAATATAGACCAATATGTCTTTTAGAATTCGAAGGATCAGGATCACAGAAGCACCAAAAAGCATACTTTGTATTGTTTCCATGTCTTAGGTTCAAAATCACGGAAGCATCAGAAGGACAACCATCTATCATGTTCTCCTGGCACAATTTTGTGTTCTAAGTGTCTCTGGATTAGAAAACACATTCTCGTCTATTATGTCTTCCTGGTGCAAATTCATATAATTATTTTCTTCTAGAACCGATTTCTCTTTTAAGATTCGATTAATCGGTATCGTAAAGACACGAAAGGTGTAAGTTTCGTTCTCAAGCAGGATCACAGGAGCGTAGCAAGGTGTCAACTTTCTCAAGTTAATGTTCTCCTGATTCAAATTTCTAAAAGGTTGGAATGGCTGAAGCACAAAGAAGCAAAAGTGCTATTTAAAAACATAGTGCTTTGCCGAATTGATATCGACCTCCAAAGAGTGACTTCTCATTGGTAGGAGCTTTGCCCGACGTCGGCGTCGTTTGGAGGGACTCTCCCCATGGATACAGAGGAGATACCCTGCTGCCAAACACTACTGGGACACACAAAACACAGGGGTTCCCCCTTTTTCCCGCACACCGGAAATTTACTACTGCTAGGCAGACTTCCTGCCCGTGCTTCGTTGGCCGCCTTTCAACACGAGGAGGTAGGGGACTATAGTTCTGTGAAAGGTTTGGATATTTGTGCCTTATAAGTTTCACACAACTTCCAATGCACTGAAAACTACTTTGTATAGGTAAGTTTACTACTCCCTCAAAGAATTTTAAAAAAGAGATTTGTACCAGGAGTACATAATCCTAGGTGATCCCGATTGAACAATTTTTAGAGAAAAAGAGTTTGTGTAAGACGAGGAATTGATGATGTTGTACCACTTCTTCTGAAGATCTGAGACGATAACACCTTTCCAAACATGGTATGACTAGACAGTAGCCAGTAGGTATCAGGGATACATAACATATGCTTCGGCACGAACAAACTTCACGATCCGCCGATGGATGTTAACAAAGCTGCTGTCACCGGAGTACCTTTCGAGGAGATAAGACTGCTTATAGTCCTCAACTTCGTGATTATTCCAGAATTCACACGTAATTTACTGATATGGACTTTGAGACAGTTGAAAGGCAAGGACGAAAAATATCCCCATACCAAAGAGATTACATGGATATTTCGAAGAGCTCGAGAGCCTGCATCACTTCACTAATTTGAGGAACTTGGGAAACTTAAGAAGCTGCTAGTAATCACAGAGATTGTACCCCTATAAGTTACAGAATTAAATGACCCAGGTATTAGGGATGACGGCGTATTCCAACAAAAGGTCATAGAACCCGACGGGGCATCGCAGGAAGTAAATCGTCCAGATTCGATGGAGAAATGTGCGTTACATTCAGGTTGGGCAAATGTAACAAAATGACCTTGAGGCCGGTCAAATCTGGTCTTTAAAATCAGATATATCGGAGCAATTTTCAAGATCGTTAATCTTCAAACGGTTTCGTTATACTTGCGGTTACCATTCAGAAACAATGATCGTAGTGTAGGTAAATAAATTCCGCGTCAATGTTGGTACAATTTTGAAAGCCGGTAATGTAGAAACTCATCTATAACGAGAAAAGAATTAAAAAGAAACCTCTGCACTACCTCGGGCGGTAAAACAAAGAACTACTATAATAAGAACTCGACCACAAAAATAATTTGCAATTAAACCAGTTGGTTATATAGGACATACCTAGATGGCGTAAAGTACTCAAAAGTTACTTAAAGGAAAAGAAAGTGGATTGGTTAATGCTAGGTTTATGCCGGTTTGTGTCGTAAAAAGTTTACCTGCAAAACATACCCATTAGAAATCATTGGAGGCAGAGGAGGGTCCCTCCAAGCGACGTCGAACAGAGCTCGACCACGACTATCCTACCGATGGGAAGTCGTTATCCCAACTCTCTGAACTTGCCGGAACCGCAAGCCTTAAGAAACTGGAAAGATACAGTTTTTTTAAAAATCCGAAATGCTGGAGGCATTATCACGTATCGAAACCATCTCTAGGGAGATGGTTGTCCGAATTCAAACTTGTCCGCGAAAGTGCACACTTTATCCAGTCGGTAAAGTCCAAAGCGTCACTTCCTAGCCCAGCCGGCATGAGTTACGTCGCTGCTGGCAAAACAATGGTTCCCGGTATGCCCATGAAGCATGGTCAGCAGAGCACAATCAAACATTTTGCATAATTAGGTGCTAATTTAGTGCTATATTTCCGAATTAAATGCTCCTTTTTTTTAAATTATATGTTCCGCCAGGTTCATATGAACTCAGCAGAGCACTATCTTAAAAAACCAAGAAAATGAAAAGTGAACTAACTAATAATTAGGTGCTAAGTTCGGTAGGGGCTAGATAAACCACGTTCTCCAGAGCAATGAGTTTGAAAGAGGTAACGCAGGACACATTCGCCCAATAAGGAACACATCTCCGCCAGACCCAGAGGAAATTTTACAAACGCTAGCTGTGGGTGTAAAAAGGCCGACATAAGTAACCATATAGACCCTGTTCCTAACTTAGTTCAAGGTCGATCACCACCTGGTGGCGACCTTGTAGAATAGACCAAGGTGAAGTTAAAAGCTCACTGGGTACCTAGCGGTGACCTGAAAAAGTAGATGAAGGTAAAACTCAGGCCCGTTTTCGAGTGAATCGAAAAATGAGCCTCGTTCAATCCGTCGTTAATCCCTAAACCTCTCCCTTTCCCCAGATGTCGCGCGGAAGATAGGTCAAGGCACCATTTGGTCGTTCAGCCCGAGCGTCAGGTGGAAAGTAAATCCAGACCTCGGAAAGTGGGTTCAATATTTGTCCTTTAAATAATGACCTTGTACTTTAAGGTCATTTGACGGTGACATTAAATTTAAATAGTTTATACGACATTGAAAACCAAATAAAGGCCATAACGAGCAACCTGTTCAAGGGGCGATGGGATCATAGGGAAAGTACAAGTTCAATGTAACTTTCACTTTTTTGGAGAGGAGTAGCGATTATAAAGTTTCGCATTCATTGATAGCGTATGCTGAGTACTCGTGACCAAAGCAGTCGATACTCCATGTAAAATTCGACAAGGTGAAATTCGGGTGCCGTAAAATGTTATCTTGCTCTTCTCCGGGCAATGGCTTTCAAAACTAAATAGAGACCTCAAAGGTTAACCATGTGGTGATCTTCAATGTAAAGTCCAAAAGTTGCTCGCCGTTTAAAGTTCAAAGGTCGGTCTCCGTTCAAAGTCCAAAGTTTGCTCCAGATACTGGAGTCTACAAGTGGAAGATGAATAATTTGCTTAGTGCTTACAGTGTTTACCGTGGTCTATCGTCGAGGCTCGGAAGCCTACATGACAATATTAAGAAACAAATAGAAATTAAGAAGCAAAGATGGAAACAATATCTAGAAAACAAGAGCGAATCAATATGTGATGATCTTAGCCTCCTAATATCTCGGCGAGCTAATGCCAACTTCAAATCACACCGGGATATTGGACCATATTCTGTAGTAGCGGGAATGCCACACTAACATGGCTGCCTGTTTGAATATTCTCGCTTACATTTCCCGCGAGAACCTGTCACTCTGGAGCCACTCCGAGTGCGCTAAGATCGTGATCGTCATGTAGGACACCTACGTTGTCTAATAACTGGGTCCTCAGCAGGCCATGAGCGCGTTTTATGGATAAAGAACACCAAAAGCAATAGTTGATTTAAGTTTATATTGCAGCTAATACCAAAACAGTGCCCCTGCAGAGGGTCTTAAGCAGTTCTATACTACTCCGGCATTTACCTTACGAATTAGGAAAACTGCAGGAAAACCTAATTCGGAGTAGTCCTATAATGAACAACATCCAATGTACAGCACTTTTGAGCCCTCTCGAAACCGGGGTAACTACTACAAACACGCTATGAGTAACCAAAATGGGATCGAGCCATTCCCCAGGTATTACAACACATACATCGGACAAAACTAAGAAATGTCAAATATACCTCGCCGGGCGGGGGGAAGTACCCAAGACCAGTGGAGACCCTGTAGTCAAGGGCTAAAGTTGTTGGGTTCGGAACGAGTGAAAATGTTAGTGTTAGGTTCACCAAGGCCGTATAAACTTGAATAGCTCGATCCCCTCTAAACAAGCACAGATTACTCACAGTCCCAAATAAGCAAATATAATGAAATGCAATGAAATAATCGAGAGTGACTAAAAAGCACAATACACAAATTAAATATGTACACATGCAAGTATGTAAAGCACAGATACAGCCCTACCGACAATGAAACATGATTGCCAACAAAGGTTACACATTAAAGGTACAAGTGATTGAATTCAGTAAGTACATAAATAAAAGGCTACAATCTGCATTCAAGTTACACACATTTATAGATTAATTGAATAAAGCAAATACCTCACCTGATATAACAAAGCAAAAGCGCACAGCAATGATTAAGGTATCACAAAATATTTCAAGACAAGCCGTACTTTACACTTCAGCCGGTTACAAGACAAAGACCATGAACACACATGTTAAATCCTATTTATTTGACCAACCCAAGCCA